TTGAGATATAAGCCAAAAACTGCATTTTACCCCTATGTTCTATTTTTAGCCATGGTGGCCATGTTTTTTGACGAAACAGAAAATAAAACACAAACTTTATTTAAGGATGTTCGCTCCTCTTGTTTTTGAATTTTTGCCAGATATTCGGAATCCTCTGGTTTTATCCATGTAGTGCCATTAAAAATGTTTGCCCACTAACCCCTACTTTTCTTTTCATTATTTGATTAAATATTGTTTAAAATGCCATGTTTGAAAATCTAATTAAATCCTTGTTATTTTTTCATACTTTTAGACAGAAAAAAGGTGCCAATGTTAAATGTATGAAAAATCTAGAGAGAATCATTTCCCACCAAATTTTCAATGGCTTATATCTCGAAAACAAGCACACAGACCCTTCATTTTTTTCTGCTTTTTTAGTTCCTTTATTTATATAGTATCAATTCATAACAGTCTTTTTAAAAGCTTATTATTTTGAAACAGAGTAGCGAACATCCTTAAGATACCCTAAGGATCATTCAGCTTAAGTTTGGTTGGAATTGGTTCAGTAGTTTCAGAGGTGAATATTTTTTAAAGTTAGAAAACATGATGAACAAATTGTGTAAAATTGTCCTAAAAGGGCAATAACTCTTTAAGAGGTCAATTGACAATATTGGTCATAAAAAAACCTATTTGTAGATCTTACTTTGCTGAACATATTTGCTGTATACAGTTTATCTTTATCATTAACACTATTCAAAATAATAACCAAAAACTGCAAAATTTCCTTAAAATTACCAATTTAGTGGCAGCAACCCAACAATGGGTTATTAGATTCATCTGAAAATTTCAGGGCTGATAGAATTTCGCCTAATGAGCACTTTTACTACATGTCAGATTTGTTCTAACTCCTTTGGTTTTTTAGATATAAGCCAAAAACTGCATTTTACACCTATGTTCTATTTTTAGCCGTGGTGGTCATGTTTTTTGATGAAACAGAAAATAAAACACAAACTTTATTTTAGATACCCTAAGTATCATTCAGCTTAAGTTTGGTTGGAATTGGTTCAGTGGTTTCAGAGGAGAAGATTTTTTAAAGTTAGAAAACATAATGAACAAATTGTGTAAAATTGTCCTAAAAGGGCAATAACTCTTTAAGAGGTCAATTGACAATTTTGGTCATAAAAAAACCTATTTGTAGATCTTACTTTGCTGAACATATTTGCTGTTTACAGTGTATCTTTATCATTAATACTATTCAAGATAATAACCAAAAACTGCAAAATTTCCTTAAAATTACCAATTTAGTGGCAGCAACCCAACAATGGGTTATTAGATTCATCTGAAAATTTCAGGGCTGATAGAACTTCGCCTAATGAGCACTTTTACTACATGTCAGATTTGTTCTAACTCCTTTGGTTTTTTAGATATAAGCCAAAAACTGCATTTTACCCCTATGTTCTATTTTTAGCCATGGTGGCCATGTTTTTTGACGAAACAGAAAATAAAACATAAACTTTATTTTAGATACCCTAAGTATCATTCAGCTGAAGTTTGGTTGGAATTGGTTTAGTGGTTTCAGAGGAGAAGATTTTTTAAAGTTAGAAAACATAATGAACAAATTGTGTAAAATTGTCCTAAAAGGGCAATAACTCTTTAAGAGGTCAATTGACAATTTTGGTCATAAAAAAACATATTTGTAGATCTTACTTTGCTGAACATATTTGCTGTTTACAGTTTATCTTTATCATTAATACTATTCAAGATAATAACCAAAAACTGCAAAATTTCCTTAAAATTACCAATTTAATGGCAGCAACCCAACAATGGGTTATTAGATTCATCTGAAAATTTCAGGGCTGATAGAACTTCACTAAATGAACACTTTTACCCTTGTCAGATTTGTTCTAACTCCTTTGGTTTTTTAGAAATTGGCCCAAAACTGCATTTTACCCCTATGTTCTATTTTTAGCCATGGTGGTCATGTTTTTTGATGAAACAGAAAATAAAACACAAACTTTATTTTAGATACCCTAAGTATCAGTCAGCTTAAGTTTGGTTGGAATTGGTTCAGTGGTTTCAGAGGAGAAGATTTTTTAAAGTTAGAAAACATAATGAACAAATTGTGTAAAATTGTCCTAAAAGGGCAATAACTCTTTAAGAGGTCAATTGACAATTTTGGTCATAAAAAAACCTATTTGTAGATCTTACTTTGCTGAACATATTTGCTGTTTACAGTTTATCTTTATCATTAATACTATTCAAAATAATAACCAAAAACTGCAAAATTTCCTTAAAATTACCAATTTAGTGGCAGCAACCCAACAATGGGTTATTAGATTCATCTGAAAATTTCAAGGCTGATAGAACTTCACCTAATGAACACTTTAACCTTGTCAGATTTGTTCTAACTCCTTCGATTTTTGAGTTATAAGCCAAAAACTGCATTTTACCCCTATGTTCTATTTTTAGCCATGGCGGCCATGTTTTTTGACGAAACAGAAAATAAAACACAGACTTTTTTCTAGATGCCCTAAGGATCATTCAGCTAAAATTTGGTTGGAATTGGTTCAGTAGTTTCAGAGGAGAAGATGTTTGAAATAGTTAACACCAGACGGACGATGACGGGCGCCAAGTGATGGCTAAAGCCCACAGTTCCTTCGTAACTGTGAGGTCATAAAAATTTAATTTCCTCCAGTCCAAAATTTATTTCACCCAGGGGCTGTATAATGATGAAAATGCCTTTAAATGTTTTCGTGGAACACCCTTCAAAAAAAATTTGGGCAGGGGTTCCCCTGACCCGGACTATCCTGTTTGGTCTGGGGGCATTCACCCAATATAAGTATGCTGAAAGAAACAATATAATAATGGTTTAAAGAAAAAAGTCACACTGAATAATTCTGAAAATGGAACATATCAAGGAGAAATCCATTTTTAAATAGAATATAAATCTATATCAATTGATGCTGCTTTCTTCCATTAAATTCATATACTAGATGAAGGATTTTTTTACAATTATTATTTACTGAGAATTTCTGATAAAACTATACAATGAACATACTTTAGAAGAGACTATCTCCAAAAATGCCCAGCATCAACTTTAAAGAGTAGGTTGGTTAATGTCTTTTATATGGTCTATAACAGATTGGAGAAAATATCTATTTGATTTTAAAATGAATAAATTTATTTTTTTTGTAGTTGGATTGCTGCATCATGACAAATTACCTACATCTATAATTATGTCACGATTATGGTCAACCCAATAATGATGGCATCTGTAAAACTTTCAAACATATGACTTCAACTTTACCACTAGGAAAACTTGGTTCAATAGCTTCCATGTAAGCAGTAACTCTCTATCGAGGAAATCAGGATAGTAATGCTTGCCCTGGATTATTGTATCAACTGGGAGGAAAGGTCAACTGGTTAAGGTCATACTGTAACCTATAGAAAACATTGATGTATGGAATTGATTGGTCATATCCAGCAAATGTGTTTACATGTACATTAACCCAATACACAGATTTTTAAGTTTGCCACAGCAGGAAATTTTATTTAAAACAGTAAAAAACATTTCCACAAAAGTGATTGTCTATCATATAAAGTCAATAGAACAACTAGAAAGGTTTTTTCTTTAGTAAATTCCTTCAACACAAAATTAATGTATAACACTATGTGTATGTAACATATCTTCTTTCTGGAGTTTTTTTATGTTGTCTTTATGAATAGCTAAAGGGGAGATTAAGGTACCAGGAAAACTATTTTAACTCCTTCATATATTTTGCCTGTACATGTTTTAACAGATTTGCTAAAAGTATGTTTTTCATTGTTGTTGTATTCTTTTCTGACATACAAGTGATCTCTATATGTTTTGGCTTATAATCTGGATTATCAACAATATTTACCTTCACAATAAGTAGGTCCCATTGGGGTTTAAGTGTAACATATGATTGGCTGAATATTTGTAAGTGTGAATCATGAAAGTCAAATTATTGAGTGTGAAAATGGGAAACGAAGTAGGATGGGACATAGAGATTACAAGCGTTATTATTACAATGATAAGTGGGATACGGGAATCTGACAAACAATAAGTGGGATCAGGGATTAGACCCCCAATAACTCTGAAAGACTATCTTCCAACATAGACTCTTTTTGTATTACTGTTGTTTTTTTTTTATTGAATTGGCTATTGATGGTCAATGGTGCAGTCGTTTTTTTTTTGCTGTTCAATATTTTTTCATATAAACAAAAAGATTGCAGACTATGACATTCTGTGGTGACACAGCAGAACCAGTGAATTATAAATACTCATGTCAGCAAATATTTCAATAATCTAGTCACATCCTTTTAAATACAGCTACACTGAAAAAATATTCAATTAATCAGATATATCAAGATAACAATCTTTAGTAAGCAACTTTTTAGATGCCTGATAATTTATGACATTGATCCTGTGTTGAAATGAAATTATCATTGATATGGTCATAATTATAAATCAACTGTTTACAAAAATTTAGAATTTTTCGAAATACTAAGGATTTTCTACCCCAGGAATAGATTACCTAATAAGCTGTATTTCACAAAACCTTTCGGACTTTTGAGTCCTCAATGCTCCTAAACTTCATACTTTATTTCACCTTTTAATCTTTTTTTATATAAGCATCACTGATAAGTCTTTTGTATACAAAATGTGTGTCTGGCATACAAAATTTTAAACTGGTATTTATGATGAATTTATTTAGGTAGTGCAAAATTTCCAAAGTATCAATTTAATAAAGAACTGAAGGTTCTGGATTATTTGCTATCTTAAATTTGCTGCATTTGATTTAAGTTAACACAATTTTTCTCACACCCAAAATTTTAATATTTTACACTCCATATACATATTCCTAGTTAAGATTTTCTATCCATTTGGAAAATTGTACTGGACCCAATTAATGATACAAGGCAGGTGCAGATCACTCTGATAAAAGAACATTGAATCATAATTTTGTAATGCTGAACTAAACACAGAAAGACAAAAATTGCATTAATTTTCATTTATTAATAAAATAAGACAAACAATATACAATATATACAACTTTAAATTATATGGACGGAATGTAGATTTGTATAAATGGACTTGATATTTGCACCAATGTGATGTAGATTTTGTTTAAAATATGAATATGACATCAACATTGAAATATGAATATTTTCACCATTAACATATGAATAAAAAGGATTATGATTCTAAATGATTTTTCAAAAAAACTTCTGTCATCACGAAAATTCACTGTCTTGAATACTTTTCTAAACTTTGTATAAATGTTTGTGATATAAAAGACTACATATATGAAATAAGAGAGATTTTATTTCACTTCATTTAAAATATGGAATCAACTTTAATGAAAATGTAAATGTTTCTTGTTTGTTACCTTTTACACCTGTAATGAAATTCGTTCTGAGGACAAAAATGCCTTTGAAGACATATCAAGCATTTATTGATAAATGTTAAAACGGAATGCTTTGGACTGTATTGATCCACTGTTAAGACGTGAGTTTACTTTTGATTAAGTTATTTTGTGGGTACCAATTTTCGTGGATTGAGGAAAACTTGCATTTTTGTGGATATTTGATATTGTGGTTATTGCCAAAGTCTGCATACACTTTTATTGAAAATTTGTTATTCTTGGTACACTGGAATTTGTGGTTCCTGGGTAATCACAAAATCCACGAAACTTGGTATCTAACGAATAATAATGAATCCACAGTATTATCTAGACATATTTTGTAGGTACTTGTCAATTGTTGAAGATAGATAGTTAACCTCTATATGTCTCTTGACTGTCTGTGTTCTTTAGTTTCTGTCTGATTAGTGTATACTGTCTCCTTTTATTATTATATCCAAATATGACATTCAAATAGATGTATAAATTGCCACATTATGTTTGTGGGAATGTATAAAAATGTTTATCAATTCACTAGTACATTTCTATTGGGAATAGTCCTTAAACAAAGAATTATTTGAATTTGGAATAATTTTGAATTATGGAAAATTGATAAGAAATGTATGATAAAACTATTGAACTAAAGAGGGTTAGCCATGCACGCATGACTAAGGTTAATTTCACTTTCACTGATATTTCAGTATGAACTAACTAACCCCCTTAGCCATGCATAAATAGCTAATCCTCCTTAATTGGGTTAGTTTTCATCACATATTTCTTATCAATTTTAAAGAATTCAAATTTATTCGGGATTCAAATAATTCCTTGTTCTTAGCAAATAAAATAATACAAAAATAAAATCACAGTAAACAAAAAAATCAATCAATAATACAATACTTGTATATATAATGAACACTAACCTCTTGAACATAACAGAGAACAATTAAAAAGTATAACAGTTTTTAAATGCATAATACAAAACAAACATGATGAACATCTATTCTGTTAACGTGAGAGCCTGTTTATTTGAGGGTACCACAAAATTTTTGAAATTTTGAAAAAATACATAAAGTTCATGGGAACTTTAGTTTGTACTTTTAAATTTTACATAAAATAGATATTAGTATTTTACTTTTTAATGGAAGAATATTTCCTATGGCTTTAGTGTAACCAATAATATTCTTACAGTTGTTTCCCTTTAATAGTTGTACAGTAGACTCCACCTAATCGGATATCGGCTAAACGAATATATCGGCAATTGTAATATTATTTCAAAACACCAAACCATTCCCTATATGATTAATGTTAATTTTATCGTGTAATCGAATATCGGATATAAGAATATATTGGCAATTTGGATAAGAATATTCAGGTCATTTTGTTCAAAACCATGCACAGTCGAATATTTTCAATGTTTTTCTGACAGGAAATGGACCCGGAAGTTACAAATTTACAATCTTGCAGACAAGAAGATTTTGTTTTTACTAAATAAAAGGAACTATTCCTTAATAAATTGTTGTCTTTAATCATTGTCTTCCTTTGTCATGTGAATTAGATGCGATTTTACTTCAAATGGTTTGAATTCATTTATAAAATATGCAAGACTCAGTTGACAAGTTGACGCTGCTGTTTGGAGAATTTTGATTAAACTCTAAATGTTCACAGAATCAGAAATATAATCTAAACTGAATGTACCTCCTTCTGAATAATTTATTGCAATATAAATATAAATCCCTTTTGACAAGAGAAATCTGACTTTTGTCAGATATATTTTTTTCACATGTGCAAAAGTAACCACATGTCATGGACGCCATTTTGGATGTTTACAAATTTGTGAGGAAGCCTCTAGAACTATGACCTAAATATAAATAGTCTTCAGAAAACGTAAACTTTAGGCAATAATATTTTATCAATCATGATTATTTTCATAAATTTAAATTTGATTATTTAAAGAAATAAAATTATAACAAATACGATTTTAGTTTGGAGATTCTACACAGACATGCTTAGATCTATTTATAGCCAAATTAGTTTACCTGTATGATAATGTAAATAATGGATATTAATTTGCTTACAAAACAAATAAAGACAAACTATGGATGGTAGATAATAATTCACATAAATATTTCAGGACATTTGATTTATTTTAATAAATAAAGGATTTAAAAACTGCAAACAAATTTAATCATTACATAATCAGCTGATCATTTTTTACACAAACATCGTGGTGATGTAACTGATAAAAATCACTCCATCAATCCTCCAGCCCTTTCACATATTTAGCAATTGTCAGGGTTAGTAACATCTCAGGATTATATCTACTCATTATTGCAGAATATTCAATGAATATACATTCATCGTCTAATTGAATATATCGGGTAATCGGATATTTTTAGCTGACATTTTGGGTATCCGATTTGCCAGAGTCTACTGTATATCAGTCATTGTATCATCAAGTAACCAAATACAAAATATCAACCTTTGCTTTTGATAGTTTCACAAATATGGAATATAAACATTTATTCCTTTCAAGAATTTTAAGAATCTATTCATAATATTTGAATTTGATGTGCAACAATGATTCATTCAAAACAACAATTATGATTGGCTATACTCTGGTCAGCTGCTCTTCTCTTGTAATTTCAATTTCTGTAGAGATTCCTGTAATAGGTTACAAGCTGTTTTGTGTTTAGGCCAATGGTTCACTTGACATTCACTGTAACAGAAATTTTTTTTTTAATGGTTGAATGATTATTTAAAATTATGTTAAAGGACATACATTTTTGATAATTCTGAATATTTTTTATGATTTTTTTTTCAATTAGGTATATGAAATATTTGAAGCTGGAATTGCAAAAAATCAAGTTTGGTCGCCTTGATAGAGCTTGTGTAAAACTTGAACAATTCCTGACAATTAAAATATCTATACAATTACAAAATTCTTTATTTTAAGACACTAAAAGGAGACAAATCTAGCAAAGAAACTATGCTGTTTATTCCAAAGTGATATTTGGCCATTTTATGTTTCACAAATAGTAATAGAACCAGTGTGCACACAGATTTTCTTATTAAGGAACATGTAAATTCAGAATTTGAACAAGAAAATGCAACTTTTTCACAAAAACAGTTGACAACAATGCTTCTTAGTTTGTTTTTTTTTTTCAAGAAAAAGTAGATTCTTTTATTAGAAACAATCACAGAATATGTTTTGTCAACTCTAGTTTTTTTTTATCTAAACAAAAATCAACTATGTATCATGGTTTAATCCACTATTTTCTACATAAGGAAATGCCTGTACCAAGTCAGGAATATGACAGTTGTTTTCCATTTGTTTGATGTGTTTGAGCTGTTGACCTTGCCATTTGATAAGGGACTTTCTGATTTGAATTTTCCTTGAAATTTTGGTATTTTTGTTATTTTACTTTTTTCTTAACAATGATTTACTATTACTCTACATGTAAATTGTCAAATAAAATAAACATGTAAACAAATAATGAATCAACATGCCAAAAAAAAACAGCATAACAAGCTAGGAATATCTAATACAGCAAAGGATTCAAATGTAAACTTACCGTCTGCAATACCATTCATTTTGACACCTAGAACACCTTTTACTAGCTTCTTCTCCACACAATGCACACTTTGGTGGTTCTGCTATTAAACTCTCTACTGCATCGAAATTGTATGTTTCTGCCCATCTGATGATAAAATTAAAAACTTTTTTTAAAGTATTAAACGTGAATATATCTAAGACAATTTTTTTGACTCTTTATAATTTAAAAAATTTGTAACGGTTCCGCGGAACCCAGTGTCTCGCCTACTTTTTATGTTAATCGCAGGCTCAACAGAAATGAGGAAGTAAATCAATAAAAATATTCCTCTTGATACTATCTTTTGATTGTAAGAAGCTTCTGTCCAAGTTTGGTAAAAATCCAGGATAGTTTATGAATCTAATAAATGTTTAAAAACTTTAACTGCAGACTGAATGTAATGTTAACTGGAAGAAAACAAAATTTCCTTCTAGATACTAGCATTTGATCATAAACAAGCTTCTGTCCAAGTTTGGTACAAATCCAAAATAGTATAAGAAAGTTATTAAAATTTTAAAAACTTTAACCACAGACTGAATATGTTGTTTCCTGGCAGAAAATCTAGGTCCATTTAAAAGTAAAATATGGAAAAAATGGATTCATTTTTGTTACAAAATTTCCTTCTAGATACTAGCTCTTGATCATAAACAAGCTTCTGTCCAAGTTTGGTACAAATCCAAAATAGTATAAGAAAGTTATTAAAATTTTAAAAACTTTAACCACAGAGTGAATGTAATATTTCCCAGCAGAAAAACTAAGTCCATTTATAAGTAAAATACGGAAAAAATGGAATTTTATTTTTACAAAATTTACTTCTGGATACTATCTAATGATCATCAACAAGCTTCTGTCCAAGTTTGGTAGAAATCCAGGATAGTTTAAGAAAGTTATTAAAATTTCATAAACTTTTAACCACAGAGTGAATATTTGTGGACGCCGCTGACGACGACGCCGATGGAATGTAGGATCGCTATGTCTCGCTTTTTCGACTAAAGTCGAAGGCTAGACAATAAATCAAATTCACTCAAACTATTTAGAATTAATGTTGCATTATGTTGTCTTACACATCACTAATTTACTTAGTTTTCATAATTGTTTTATCAATATAAAATTCATGTGTTAGATTGCTGCTTGCTTAACATCTAGTGGCAAATATTTCAGGCAAGAACATATTAACAATTAATACCATAGGAAGGTTCTGGAAGAAGGCAGGAATTTTGAACTGCCGTTGAAAAATAAAGTGACACTACGGGTGCCACTAGTTTGAATGTCTTCATTTTTCATTTTGTGTGGATAGAGGCAAATATTTTGTCTTGTAACAGACCAAAATTTAAAGTGAAATAACAAATATCAAATGAATATATTGTTTTGTAAAAAAAAGTGTTTAGTTGATTCTACCTTTTGGCTTGTGCTCTCATATCACTCTCAGATGGATTAAATACTGTTTTAGATTGTTTCTTTGCAATTTTCTTCCATCTTCCCTCATTTGCTTGTAGAATGTTGTCTCTCATTTCTGGTATCTAAAATATAAAATTTTACATTTATTAAATAAATGGAAGCTACAAATATTATCAAAAATCAACCACTTTATACATTTTTTCTTTTTTTGTTGCAATTACTATTTCTATTTGGGAATAGATATTTTGCAACAGAATATGATAAAATATTCCCTGAAAAGTAGGTCATCTGGAACAAAACACAAACTTGCTCTGTTAATCAACTTGTGCACTTGTGAATCAAAAAATCAGCTCAACATCTACAGCCATAAGGAAAAGTTCTGGACAACTGTTATGAGTTGGAATGGCAGACTTTGGTATAAACAATATTTGCCCTTTCCTTTGATTGGTTGGGGCATACAGTTGATGATAACCACAAAATAACAGTAATTTTATGAGATTTCTTTGGATTTGCCAACATCCTCTAGAACTGATTGTGTAATCATTCCTTATCATATTTTTCCTTTTTTCCGATATAAAAACAACTATATAATTGTCATATTATAATTATTAGTATTGCATTAATTTTGTTATTAATTGAAGGTCTCAAAAAGATTAGTTGTATTGCTGCTAACTCTAAAGTGTCCTTTTACTTACTTACTAGCCAAACAATTGAAGAGAAGGATCACTATATTCACATGAGTTTTGAAAAAAAAATACCTGACAAAGAAATTTTTAACTGTTAATAACATCATTTATAGCAATAATAAACCAACCTGTTCTAAAATAAGTTCTTTCTTGACAGCTGGTGGTTCCATCATAGACAGGTGCTCCAAGTATCGGAGTAACTCTCCTAAGACTGGAATTTGATCTAACATGATCTCTGTTAGGTATGCTCTGAGCTACAAATATTCAGGGATTTGATTAAAAAAATTCATCAAAAGAACAGGATATGTGTTCAAAATTTATAACACAACTAAGTTGAACTTTTAATTACCGCAGCAAACCTAAAACAAAATATATCAGTATATTTCATTATAACGCTTCATATCATGTCTATAATAACTTGTCATATCAAAGCTATACCCAAGTTTCTCAATGTTGTCTTATGTAACCAAAATTTTCAAAATGGTATGGATTTCTAAAAAGTAAATCCACAAAGGTCTCATATACAAGTGATCTTTTGTAACATACAATTACTTTGGAAATTCTACTTTCTTCATATGCGAGGTTCTCAAGTGTGCCAGTCTCCTGCAATTTCTCAGTTTACTAAGCCTCATTTAGACAACTTTTGTGGAATACATCAAAGATATGTCCCAAAATTTTGTCAACTCAGCCATCTACTTAAAATTGTTTTCACAACCCTGTTATCATTCATGTCTGATAAATAAAAAAAAATCTTTTCCTTTGAATTATAAATCTGAAATGAAAATATTAACCTCTTTCACTAGTATTAAGCAAATAAACTGTGTGTATTAGGTTCTTTTAAAAAGCTTAGCTACAACAACTTTTTGAAAAATTAGAAGAAAAAAAATTGTGGCCAATCTTAACTCTTTAAGTTAAATTTACCTTAATTATGACATTTTTTCTATATGAATCTAGTTCATATTTCTGTTGACATTGTGGATCCATCAGAAGCTTGAATATAGATAACCATACCTGAAAAACAAAAAAACTGTTATCATCTATATTCAAGTAAATGTCACACTGCAGAACAACAATAAAAGTGATGTTTATCTGACATCTATTTATTTATTTTACAAAATACCTTAGGAATTATAAACAGTACTCTACATACCCTTTTATCATTGAACTTTTTTTCAGAAAAATTAAATATTTTGCTTCATACCTTTTTATAACTACATGTATCAGCCTTTTTATTTGAAAAATCAAGTCCTTCCATTTACTTTTAAAGTAAGTTTTGTGTGCCACGAAAATTGCTAAGAAAGCTAGTTTCTAAACGGTTTACTGATTTTGCTTTTTTTTTATAATGGTGTTTTGGCAAAAAAGTAGGTAATGAACATCAAATTAACTTTTGCCTGCAAGCATCCATTTAATTTGTTCGAAGTTTCAATGTTCCTGAAATATCAAATTTATGAACATGTCTGTTTTTGGGTAATTTGTGTTGTAATTTATTGTCTTAGACCATCTAACAAACATTTGTCCATCATCTCCTGTCATACATATCCTTTTTTAATAAATATCTGAATTATTTCACTTACCTGGCCTTCTATTTTAGTGATTTTTAAACTATCTTCTCTACTTATTTCCTGCCATTTACTATCTATATATTTAAATGTTTTACCTGAAAATAAAATTTTAACAAAAAACTAAAGAGTTGTCTCCCATAGACCATTCAACTACATAAAAGGATACAAGTTATTTCACCAATTAAAATTGTAGATGAAATATGCAAACTTTTTGTTAAATTAGTTTCTCAGTTGGTCCTGTATCTTTAACCTGTTATTTGATCAATGTCTTCATAAAAAAAATACCCTTTTCTGACAATATAATTGCCTCAATCCCTGACAACAAAATGTCACATATCTAATCATGCTAATAAAAATGTCAATCAAACTCAAATTTGATCTGAAAAGACCCATTTTATCAGGACTACCACAAATTTGAGTGACCTATCCTCACGCAGTATAAAACAGGAAATAACTGCGGGTGCTTAGAAACTGTGTATGATGGGATATCAGACCTGCAAAACCTTTGGGTCGAAGTCAGTTGCAAAATTCAATGTATTCCCCCTACCAAATAAACATAGTTGGGGCAAATCATTCATAAAAATTTACATCAAACATAGAAAACAAGAACTTACCATCTTTCTGTCTTGTCCATGGTGGATTTTCTACTAAATGTACCAACAGTATAGGTATATCTAATGTGTTCAATATTCTGGTTGTAACACTTAAAGGTGAACTGAAATATAAAAAAAACATATTGATATACCAAGAGACTAGCAGCATTTTGTTTTTTAACTAATTTAACTACATCACAGTAAATATCTGGTTTTCTTATTTTCCCACAAATATAAACAATTATTTTTACCAATATTTCTCTCTTATAAGCAGTCATCAAAATAACCACCGATGAAATGATTTATAGACATTTTTTTGTTTATGGATTTTGCTGCTCCATCCATTATTGTTTTCAAGATAACATCCAAAAATGGTCAGAGTTCTGAGTTGATAAAAACATCAATCAGGAGCAATAAAAAAGGAATCATCTGATAGCTTTGGTAGATAAACACAAAGTTAGAAATCACCAAAATTAAATTCCATGATAATAAACCACTTTGCAGTATATTTACATATTGTACTTTCTACCTGTACTTACTTATCTATACAATCAGTTATATATCTTAACAAGGACAAGGATTTGATACAAATTTCAAAATTTAACTTCTTTTCCTGTTTTTCTAACTCCTGAAAAAAGAAAAGTAACAGTAATAATAGATGTTTTAACACCTGTGTTATTGTTAGCAATTATTGTACAATTCTATTTTTTATCGGAGATACTTTGTATTTGTATTCAAATTGATCATGTGAACCATTTACTTTTCAACTGTTCTATTTCTAATATGTATGTATTTTCCCAAATAAGAAATGGTCGAACTAAATATTTTCTTTTGAATGTGAATGTAACCGTAGCAAGTGTGGTATGTAACTGCCATGTCCCAATTTTACAATTCTTGTTCCATAAGATTGCATTTTTTTGGGGTTTTGATTTTGTTATATTTTTTGACAACTGAATAATTCTACAACTTAGTTCAGTTATTATGTTCTATTGTATCAGTAAATCAACTAAACAAATCACTTAAAAATAATTAAAACAGTAATTGTATGTAATTTTAAAAACTTGTGACTTCAAAAATCTTACTTCATTGTTTGTATTAAATTTTTCTTTCTGGATCTGTTATCCTGAATAAGTTACTTTTTTCAATCTAAAATGTACTTTTTGTTTGATGTTATTTTTCTCTTTTTAGATTGCTTGATATTTTTCATCTGTCATATTTCTGATGTTACAATTTTTATCTTTTTACAGATTTCTATAAGGTTTAACTTATACCTCCATATTAGATGCTGAGGACATACTATTTAAGGCATCATTAGTATCAATTTCTTCATCATCAAAATCTTCTACTGTCCTGTAAGAATAAAATATATACTGAAGAAACTATAAGTTGTCATACATGCTTAATGAAAATAACAATGGCTGCTTACATAAAACACTGATAAAGAGCAATTTGTTTTTTTGATATTTATAATTTGACCCATCATAACTTCTTATAATTTATCTTTTTTAATCAAGACATTCTATATTTTTTTTTTCAGTGTGCATAACATTTGGTTGGTTGATTTATTGACTAATTGCTGCTGAATGTCTATCAGTATCTATTACATGCAAAGTCAGGATGATAACATTTTAATGAATAAAAATGTAGATAAACAAATTTTGCTATGCACTAGATAGAGGTGCTGAGTCTGAATTTTAACATTATAGCTCACTAGGTAACACTTGCAGGAAAACATCTTATTCTACTCCAAGCAGCTCAGTTTTTGCTCTAAAAGCCTAAGCCTTGGTGTAGAAGCAGCAAATTCCACTTTTAATGTCTTTGTTGGTTTGTTCACTTACTGTGTCATACCAAACTAATGCACTGGAGGTAACCACAACTACCACCTGACCAGCAATACTGTTCTACAAATCTGAGTAATTACCAATTGACAACAGCTAAAATATTAGAATTTATACAATCAAATCATGGAAATGTTGGACTAGTTAACTGTAAAATCAGATATTTAGATTACCTTGCAGTGAGTTGTGTAAGTTTTCTGTAGCAGTAGTCTAATAAATCAGGTATACAATTCTCTGCACTCTCACACGTCTCTTTAAAATACATTGTAGTCTCTAACAGATTCACTAGTGTAGCTTCATGAAATAACTGAGAAAAAAATATGCAGAGTTACATGTACATGTATAAATTAAAATACAATTTGAAACATACTCTAAGAATCAAACATGAACTCCATCAGTTCAAGTCAAAATTATTAAACACCTTCAGCAAAACTGTATGACATCTTTATCTTAAATTTTTATAATTTTGAGCATTGCAGACTTAAAGATGGATGAATAATTGCATGTTCCCTTTTTACAACTGCAGAAAGTTAAATTTCAGAAATCATAGATGAAAACTGTGAGCTAAATTGAACTTCATAGACCAGCAGTGTTCCAGCTTGAATCTCAGGGCAGAAGGGTGCTAGTTGTCTGAAAGGGCACTTTAGCGTTATAACCCAGATTTTAAGGGCACTGTTGGACAGTGTATAAATTACCTTGAATATTGCTAGGCTCATGCAGCTGGAGAACATTAGTTGTATTTAAACCATATTCAGAAATTAATGTGTTCTTGATGTTGGTTCCAGGAAGAATTTTTTTTTTATCAAATTATCATACCATGAAGCAAAGCATATCATTTTGATGTTAATCTAAACAAACTTGTACATTTGGTAAGGAAAATAATCATCAGAAATTTCAATGTTTTATAACTTATACCAGTCTATAAAAAGAAACAAGTAGTTTTGAAAGATGGAGTTATACATGCAAAATTGAATGTTTAATGTAATTAAATTATCTACATTTAAATTACTAGTTCAAGCATATAGTATATATGTTATTGAGAGTTATTTATTATCATTTGAATTGTTACAAAAAAGTATTTTTAAGTGCACACCAAAGTGCTCCTCAGTAAGGAGTTTTATAAATATAACAGGTGAGACTGTAGATGATCATATTATATTGATGCAATAATATATTGCAGAAGGTATAAACAGTTACTTTTTTCTCCATCATTGTTAAAAATAAATTTGTTGAGTGCTCCTATGTCAGGAGGATTATAAAATACAAGAAGTAAAACAGGAAGTGAATCTTGTTATGTTCAAAGTACAAATTTCTTTGATTCTTCTTTAAATTTCATACTCATGGTTAAGAAACAAAACATTTTTTACCAATTAAGTCAAAACTATGTATGCCTTAAACATTGTTTAAGATTTTATTTTTTATGTTATGCCTACTGAAATAAATTTTTTCAGGTGTACATGCTGTACATAAACATTACAAATGGATAACATGTGGACATTTCATTCTGTATTAAATATCTAGTATTTGTTCAATTATCTTAAATCCACTAATTAGCAGTAAACAATCATTAACAAAGGTGATAAAACTGCCAAAACATTAGGTATTTAACTTAATCCCATTGTCAGTTAATTAGTGTTACACAATCAGGTAACAATTTTACCGGAAACGCCGGTAGGCATGAAATTTGGAAATTTTATTTTTTTGAAAAGGCAGAGGGGTGCATTCTTTTACTTTGGAGGGCAGAAGGGCGGGGGTAAGGGCACCAAGGGCGGGCCGCCCTTCCATTTAGGGCAGGCGGGAACACTGGACCAACTTTGTTCTACTTGTTTGGATTGGGGGGATATAAATATGATAAACTCCAAAATTCATACTTAAGGTTCATGTGGACCCTTTGGCTAAAATGGCTGCATTTTCACCTCAAAATTTACTCTGAGTACAGACAAACCTGCGCATCTGGAAAAGTTTTAAGGCATAGCATGCCCTAGATAAATAAACTTCTAATGCATTGTATGTTTTAGAAAATTTTAAACTTAACTGGATTTAGCAGTGCACTTTTTTTCGTTCCTGCAGAAGATGATAAAATTAACAAACAGTTGAGTTTCACTTGATATGGTCCACTCAGGTACACAGTTTAAATCACCAATTATTGTCAGGTATCTATTGTCCATCTATTGTCCATGTCAATCAAAACAGTTCACTTCAATTATTACCTGTGGGGAAGATCTCAAACCTCTTTCCCAACTTAGTTTATTTTGGCACCTTCTGGAGGAATGAAAAAAAGTGCACTGCAAAATCCGGTTAAGTTTTTAATTTTCTAAAACATAAAATATATTTGAATTTTATTTATCTAGGGCATGCTATGCCTTAAAACTTTTCCAGATGCACAGGTTTGTCTGTACTCAGAGTAAATTTTGAGGTGAAAATGCAGCCATTTTAGACGAAGGGTCCACATGAACCTTAATTGGAAACTGATATAACTAGATTTGACACACTCTAAAACCAGTTTTAACCCAAAACTTTCATACCAGATTGTGCATACCAAGTAAAAAATCTTATTAAGAGGATTTGTCTATTCATAATTTTGTGCAGTGCATATACTCACAACCATGTATATTGGAAATGTAGTTTTTGGTTCAAATTCCATCTCGATAAGTTCAGTAAATATCTTTTCTTTCCAGATCTCTGTTGTGAGCAGATCTTTAATGAGAACCTCGGTCTAAAAAGAAGTGTTATAAAATGCTTAAATCAACATTCAGATACAAATGAATACAACTGAAGTTTTTAATTTACTCTAATAATTTCAATTGCACTTTTTAATTACCATTGCTTCCCTATTTTTTTTTTTTTTATCTTATGACAAGAAAAATAAGTTTTTAACTTTTACAAATTTTTACATAGTTTTTAAATGATTTAATTGTAAATTCCATTAAAACCTGTGCCAATGTGCAGGAATATGCTTGGATGGAGAGTTGTCTCATTTGCACTCATACCACATCTTCCTATATCTATTAAATGAACACAATAATTTAAAAGAATATAAAATGATGAAATTTACTCCACATGATAAAACAATTTTATAAACATATATATATACCTTTCCATATGATATGAGAAAATCTTTAATAAACTCATCTTCTTGTACAGAAGCATTTAGCACAGCCTGCATATTTATCTTTTCTATCATTTCATGTTGTCTTCCCCAACTGAAAATTTTAAAAAAATACTCTGACCATTCATGAACATGACATTTACAGTCAATGAATTTAAATGAAAGAATTTATACAAAAACAAAAGAATACAAAAATTGTTTTAATAGGTAAGACCAAAGAACCAGTATGTCTTCTTTTCAAAGGCCAGAAAGTTTTGCTATAAAGTATCACAGTCATGATAGTTAAAATGAAATATCCTTAATCATTAATGATTGACAACACGTACTTTGTTCAGCTTTAATGCTTAACCTATCTTGCAAAAACAGAACTGTAAAAAATATGACCTTCATACACTTTAGGGGCCCAACCAAAATATACATGTAGGGCTATACTCAATTAACCCCAAACCTACAGCAGGTGGTAAAGGATTTTTTTCATGCAAAATGATTTTAATTTTAGTTTTTTGTGTTTTGGTGCTTGAATCTCATTTATATATATACACACAGTGTTTCATGGGCAACTTGTAAGCATTTTTTTTGTTTTTCTTTCGTCAAGAAATGGCCATTTTAATTCCTGTTTGTTATTGAGTACAATAACGTAACCCAGTGTTTGCTACTCTCCTGAAAGGGCTAAGATGAAGTCTCATTGCATGCAACAGAGTAACCCCTCAGTGATATCATTTTGCACTTATTGGGTTAAATCATGTATTTGTGGATACATTTAAGTAAACAAAAACTAAATCAATGATACAAATACATGTATAACAAATCTATTTCCATATGAAAGAAGCATCATAAGAACTACTTTAATGACATATGAGGGGCCTGATTGGGGGGGGGGGGGTCTCATCACGATTCACGAGATGATTTTTTTGTCAATCACGATTCACAGAAAATAAATTTCCATGATCACGGATCACGAAAATATAAAAAAAAATAAATCTAGAAAAACGGATCACGATAGCGAAAATGCGCCGATCACGAAGAACGAAAATAACCCATCAGGCCCCTCACATATAATATTTTGCTCCATTGCCAGAAGTGGGACTTACATGTACATTTATCATCATTCCCTTCACCTATATCACCCTGCTTAGTGGCTCTATCATTCTTGTATCATGGTTTTGAGACGTGAGCAGACATTATCAGTGAAACCAGTCCACAATGTCTGAGAAGAAGTTAACAGCCAAGTGACAATGTGTGAGGAGACGTTATCAATCTTACTCTTAGTTTAAAACTTTTACTGCCAAAGGTACATTTATGGCTTCTACACACAAAACTCGTTTATTGTGTAGAATGTCAATGGTCCATTGTAATGTCACAATATAGTAGGGCACCGACGACGTCAAAAGACAGCGCCAAAAGGACGATTTTGGCTGGAATAAACACATTTGTTAATACCTCAAACGAATTTTAACAAATAAAATAAAAAGTTTGTCAGTACTATAATACCAACTAATTTACACTGTTTACTAATTGTGTCGATCGTCTTTATGCAAAATTTCGCTCACATTTGAGAAATTGTTTTTCAATTAATTCTTTTTTAATATATACCATTTAAACAAAACAGTTTTATTAATAATCGCTTTACCTAATATTTAATTATAAATAGAAATGATAACTTTTTACTTGATTACGCGAAAAGTCAATATTCTCAATAGACTTCGTAAATATTAATTTTATAAAGGTACATGTATGTAAAATTATATACATGTATTGCAATATGGCGTTTTCAATAAATTTGTACCTGTTTCATCATGAAAGCAATAATCTAAAAATAATTATTTGATTAGAATGGGGACGTTAAATCTGTAGGTGACCCAATGCTAGGCAAACTATGATTTCTTATCCTAATCTTATCAAACATACTCTTATCTTTCCCTTTGCCAATCTTAATTTTAACGGATTCATTGTTAATTTGTTCAAGCCCTCAATAGCAATCAATCATTGAATCAATGAAAAACGAAAGTGATTCTTTAAAAGATATTACATGTATATGTATGCCATGCAATAGTATCATGTGTATTTCCTCGTAGAAAATAGAGATCCATCTTAACATCTATATTTTTTTAAGCCGAGAATGATGATTGCTCTAGGCTTACATGTAGATCATAGGAATTATTTTTGGATTCTGTTCCTTTGTTTTCCTATATTTTAAACATTTCCATAAAATCTAGTGCGCTAAGTGAAGTCAACAAAAGAACAACAAGGATTTGTCTTACAATACAGTGACGTAGCTACACTTCTAATGATGTGCACTAAGAAGATGCCGAGCATAGCGAGGCAAAAAAAACATTTCGACCCTTTTTTGCAAAAAATGAATCTTTTTTCGATCTAAGATGGTTAATTTTGAAGTAAGTGAAGTATGCTCAGTTGAGTGTTTTGCTATATATCAAATCAAAGACCTAAAACTGACTAAAATAATCTAAAAACTTTGCAATGCTCCCCAATTTATTATGCTTCAGAGAAAGAAAGGGCTAGAGAATTGAATCATCTCGTGACATATATAAGTTAACATACGAAAACAAAGCAATTCAAACAATCAATTTTTAATTTTGTGATATAGGAATGTGACGTTCGTATGTAAGACTGTAGTTATCAACCGAGGTCCTTTAGGAGAGTAACATTTTCCTCGGACTAGCATTGTTAAATGTGTCAACAACTTCTTTAGTGTCAATGTCAAAATCAGAATGAACGTGCAGCAGTGCAAGTTAAGAAAGTATTTCTTGTCCCATGGTCGATCTCAGATACGTTTTTACGCATTTCAGAGCGCTGAAAGAGCGTTTAGCAGTAGCGGTTGAGGGTGGCATGGTGAGAAGTATTTGCAGAATACAGAATATATTTGGGTAAAGTTCTTTCGGCGTCATCTCCAATGTTGCAAAGAGTTGGTCTGGTTTCTTAGATGGATAAACATCCCATCTCGCAACCCACCTTTTAATTTTGAGAAGGAACTGATCTTTTGGTTGAAGATCGGATTGTAGGCGCGAAATATGAGAATTTGATGGTCCCAATTCAAACTTTTCAGATTGTTTGGAAGAAGCATCTGGGCAAGAAAACGTTCTTCCGAACTGACAAGACGATCTCGTAGTTCGTTTAGTAGATGGTCTAAAAATTGTATATTCAGTGTGACGCGCCAATAATCCTGGATACCGACAACAGCGGGATTTGCCCGATTACATTGATGACCGGTAGTTCTTGGTTTCTATATATATATAGTAACAGTCAATGGCATTCTTTTTTTGACTGTTATGATTTTTTAATAATGATTTTTTGTTGCCATTTCGTTTGTGCACGCAAGTGCGTTGTTGCGTCAATGGTAGCTACGCCACTGCAATACAATCCTTGATAACAATAATAAACATGATTAAGATAAAGACAAGATGGATATTGATATTATCATAATAGTATTTGAAAATTCTTTCTTTCCCTACTGAAGCAGTGCTCAGAATGTAAAATTTAATCTGTCATATATAATACCCGACAACATGAAGTATGTCATAGAGTCCGCTGTTCAGGGTTTTATTTATTTTTAATTGTTCATATATTGTATCTATTTTAATTTATGGGGTGCCAATGTTTTGCTAATATAATAAATTTGAGATTTTTGGGGGAGGGGGTAAATCAGTTATACATTTAACTTGACATTGCTATAACTAAAGCGTTTATAAAATTGTTAGCATTGTGTTTTGTTATCCTCATTTTTTAAAGATATGAAAAATGAGGAAACAACTGCATTTCTAGGTTAAACAATTGTATTTTTCGATAATGTTAAAAACATCGATAAAGACAATCTTTGGGCAAAAATCTCTAAAAAATTGACTTTTCCTCATTATGGCTGAATTGACGCGGGGAAAAATATAGAAGGCGGGAATGGCCTGTTCTACTGAGGTGCACAAGTTTTGCAACATCACAAATATGGTAAATCAGGATGCTTATGGTGCGACAAAGCAAGTTGACAAATTTCGGCAGCAAGAGGGTTAAGGAGAGGAAAACGATAGTTAATAGAACAATAAACAGATTCTCTGATTTTCAACGTACATGTATAGATATCTTAAAATATCAGCCGCTCGACACTACACGTATGTAAACCTTATTAAATTGTTCACTGCGCTCACTCACCAAAAAGGTTCACATTGTGGTCACAGCTAATATTTTATGACATCAATGGGTAGAAATCCAATAATATAGACTTAATCTTAACCCTGTTGGGAGGTAAGCGAACACTGGTTACATTATCATATATCTATGTTCCCTATGGTAAATGAAAGCTAATAATACAATCATAATAATAACAAAAAAAGGTTTTTGATAATGCTTCTTTATTTGGTGACAAAAGACGTGGCAAAACAATTTTACAGTAGAACCTTTTTTTTGTTAGTAGCATACAAGTTTAATAATCTGTCCGATATCTACTCGCATACTTTGACTAAAGAACTTTCTCCAAGGTTCCAGAAAATGTTGGAAATTATGGTTGTTTATCATAGCAACACAATTATACTTACTCATAATTTCCTATTTCTGCTACTTTGAATGAATGTAAATGTTCGACATATGACTCTGCCTCTACTGGTAACAAAACCTGAGCATTTTCCGAAGTCATTTTCTATTTAAAATGCTTTCAATTTGGGAAAAAAGTTTAATACAATTTGTAACAGAAAGCATGCAGCCGCTTGTTTGTAAACTTCCGGTCTAGATTTCTTCCGAATGGTATTCCGAAGGACCTTTTTAGCAGAATGGCGGGAAGCTGAAGGACAACTCTTGTACAATAGATTTTCACTTAAAAGTTTAGAAAATTTTACAGCCTTTTATTATGAATTTCTAACTTGTGTACGTTGTGACATAAGAATCAAACACATTTTGACCACCAAAGTTATGACCCACCATTATAAACCACAGGAATACATTGACTTTTTTGATAACGATCTTTTTGTAATTTATAATACAACTGAATAATTATATCTAAGATTTCTAATACTATAAGTAGTGTCAGACCATATTTTGAATAAAAACTCATATACTGATAACTATAAAAAGGTCATTCTTTACACATGACACTGTCCAGAAGACAAGTCTGCTCATTTTGTACATGTACAAATACACCAACTGGTATGTATGTACATGTATAAGTTGTAACACCATATTTTATTTTAGCAATGCTATAGAATAAGAATAAGAGTATTTTATTTCCAATTAAAGGGCCCTATAAAGAGCTTTCATCACATTACATACAAGTACATAAGATTAGACATAAATTAGAGACATATAAGAAAACAACATATTTTAATACTATTAAAAAATGCTATAAAAGGCCAGGACTGAACCAGATAATACAATTCACATCTTTGAAATATACCATTCAAAATCATATACCACTCAAAATATGTGTATTTGTGGCTAATTTGCATTTATTATCTTTGAACTTCTTCTTCTCTCAAGATTTTTAGATAAATATTTTCCCAAACATTTATACATATTTAAATTTTCTTGTGTAAATAGCCATGAAAACTTTGAAAAATTGTCTAAAGATTGAAAATTATTACAAGTTAGAGAAATTTCTATAGAGCTATATATATGTTTGGCTGATATTTTTATTTTGTCCTGAAGACTAATCCATGTGCTTATGGTGGGCAATACACCAATTAATTTTCAGTTGGAGTTTAGACCTCTTAATCTGGTAAATCAAGATCTTTTTATCGACATTTCTCATCTATGTTAATTTTGATAGTAAAACTAAAAATTTTCCATTGTTTTGTAAGATAAGATTATGACTATTGATGTATTGATTTCTCTGAACAACATTTACATTGACATATTAAAAATTACAATGATGTCATAGCTTTGATTTCATTTTGGACTAATAAAAATTAAGAAAAATATAGTTTTTGAACATCTGATATAAATTTGTAAATGAGAATTCATTAAAGGTGTAAATAGATAATTATCAGTTTATAAGTACTGGATACTTTTCACTATCATGTTTTTTTCTTTTCATTCTTTATTTATGTCTGCCTAATTTGTTGCTAGACTTTCAGGCTATCAAATCATACATTTTTTTTTTCTTTTAAGAGATCAATTTGTTACTCTTCAGAAAGTTAATGCCTTATAGGAGATGCATTCATTATAATAGAAGACATTTTTGTTTGGTCTTAGACAGTTAATATCAGTAGAGGAACATTCTTATATAACTTTACATTTAATTTGCTTTTAATTTATATTTATATCAGTAAACATTATTTAAAGGCATGCAATTTGCAAACACAATAAAAGTAAATCAAGGGAAATAACTCAAGTTTTTTGCAAAACATGTTTGAAATAAAAAGATTATTTATAACCTAAGGCTTAGGTAACAAACATTCATTAACAATATGTTTGACACCCAAGCTGTCAAGAGAAATGTGTACAATATTTGTCAATGTATTTTTTCTGCAAAATCAATCGAAAATTGGGAGAATCCAGTAGCTAATACTGGTAAATTGTTCCCCTGTAGTATTTATAGGGTGCACTTTTGGCTTGCATATAATCCAAACATTGTGTATGTTGTATATGAACATATATGGGGATGGGGGGGGGGGGCTTGATGCCAATATTTTTTTGGAAAAAAGATGGTTTCTTTAGTGAAGTGATTTTTTTTTGGTTTTTTTTGGTGAAAGATTCCATGCCTCCCTCCCCCTTCCCCTTTTTAGAGGTATAGAAATTGCATGATAATAAGCTTGTAAAATTCATGCTTAGTAATTTGACACCTCCTACACTCAGTTAAATTGTGATTGTTCTGCAATTAAACCATGATCATGCTGCAATCAAATTGCTTATCCTGCCGTACGGCGTCAAACTGCTCATCCTGCAATCAAACAGTGAGGATCTTGCAATCAAACCGTGATAATCCTGCAATCAAACACAGTGAGGATCTTGCAATCAAACAGTGATCATTCTGCAGTCGAAACCAAAGCATCCTGTAATAAAACTGCAATCAAATAAGATTTGATAACCATTCTGCACAATTCCAATTACTGTTAAATTTCTAGCATGCAAAACATGATTGTGGCATGCATGATGCATGCTTGCAGTTAATGCTTGTAGTTTTTGTTTGGGAAGCGACTTATTTTTCCAATTGTAAAAATTATCTTGATCAGAACACAACATTTAGATTTGGGAATGACATCGCTGGTAACTGTATGTCACAACTAAAAAAAATGGAGACTGGCTAATTTTTAAGGTTGAAATTTCAGAAAACTGAAGATTGAATTTTTAACAGGAAAAAGGGAAGATGGCATAGAAAATTGGAAGATTTTGACCCCTGTCTGAAGAATCACAGATACATATTTTTTATTTTCTTGTTTGAAAAATGAAAGGTCATATAAGCTATTAAGGCGTTTTAGATTGGCAAATATCCTATAGAACTGTCCATTGTGATATTAGGAGGAAGGAAAGATCCCTAATTATCAATAAGAAACTTGACATAAATGATTCTTAGAGTATCAAGTAGAAAGTTATTTTTTGTCCACGCCTACCAACCAACATGACTTTTGTGGATAAACATAGATCATAAGGATAAAACACCAAGTAATTATGTAATATTCTGAAAATCATAATAGATACATACAATCTGACAGAGTAACAATGGTCACAATGTCAGGATTCATCTTACTAACAAAATGTCTGAAACATCTATGGACCTCTTTAAGGAGTTATTGCCCTGATTGACAATTTATGACTTATCAAAGCATTCTTGCTTATTATCTTGATAAATGTAACCAACAAATTCATCAGCAATACCGGAACTACAAAATGCATATTTATATATGAAATCATCAATTGTCTCCCTTTAGTAGTTATTTCCCTTAAATGATTATTTCTGACAAATGTTAAGCGGTTTATTTATCATCTTAAAATACAAGAAAGGAGAATACAAAATACAAAAAACAGTTCAAGATTGATGGATTTGGTAATTTAGTGTTGTTTACACCATGTACATGTACACTGCATGTTGAGTAACTGTATTATTTAAGTAGCAATAATCAGAATTGGATTATTTATTTTGAATGCACCAAATATGAATATCTTGAATGGATGAGTTAATAGATTAAGGCAATTCATCATATATTTTGAGGAATTTTTTGTTGAAAAAAGCTGGAATTTACAAACTTTTTCATGTTAGGGCCTTTTATAGCAGACTATACGGTATGGGTTTTTCTCATTGTTGAAGGCTGTACGGTTGCCTATAATTGCTTACATCCACTTTATTTGAACTTTGGTGGATAGTTGTCTCATTGGCAATCATACCTCATCTCCTTATTTTTATATTGGTCTTATTATAATAAAATCAACCAATATGCCCAGTAGTTTTTGAAATCTATTTAAAATTTTTGATTTATAAGGCCACGCCAATTTAATTCCTTGTTTGACGGCCCCACTTGCACATATCTTTTTCCAAACGGATAAAAAATATTTTTAAATATTCCCGCTATACGCATCCGGAAAAGTAATCGTGTCTATTTCCTGCACTGGTATTTGGGTAAACATTAAAAACAATAAAAAGCGATCTCCAGAGTGTTTTAGTCAAAATCAAATTGCGACCCTTAAAACTGTTTCGAACATCAACACAGATTTCTTAATGAAGTGAAGGACGATTCTTCACAAATTCATGCTGATTTTCATTGTTAGAATACAGGTGTATGTGCTAATACAGACACCTTTAAGCAAAACTATCCATACCCGCTGCATTTTTATGCCCCACCTACGATAGTAGAGGGGCATTATGTTTTTCAGTCTGTGCTTCCATTGTTTCGTCCGTCCGTCTGTTCAGCTTCAGGGTAAAGTTTTTGGTCAAGGTAGTTTTTGATGAAGTTGAAGTCCAATCAACTTGAAACTTAGTACACATGTTCCCTATGATATGATCTTTCTAATTTTAATGCCAAATTAGAGTTTTGACCCAAATTTCACGGTCCACTGAACATAGAATATGATAGTGTGAGTGGGGCATCTGTGTACTATGGACACATTCTTGTTATGCACCTGTACTAAGTCAGGAGCCTGTTGTTCAGTAGTTGTTGTTTGTTGGTGTGGTTCATAGGTGTTTCTCGTTTTGTATGTAGATTAGACTTGGTTTTCCTGTTTGAATTGTTTTACACTAGTCATTTTGAAGCCCTTTATAGCTTGCTGTTCGGTGTGAGCCAAGACTCTGTGATGAAGGCAGTACTTTGACCTATAATTGTCAACTTTAAATACATTGTGACTTGGATGGAGAGTTGTCTCATTATCACTCATACCACATCTTATTTATATACAAAGTGCCAAAAAGACAAAGAACAAAAATGAGAACACCAAAATGACGGAGACACACACAACCAACATATAACACGAAAAACTAAAAAGTACACACATTAACGAACAGCACGAACCTCTAAAAACTGGGGGTGAACTCAGGTGTTCCGGAAGGATGAGCAGTTCCTGCTTCAGTGAAGGAAGAAAGACATCTATGACAATTCAATGGAGATTTAAGACAGTTGAAATTATTCAATTATTCAGTTCAAGATCTGATTTCCTCAGAAAGTTACAGTAATACAAGAAATCATAAATATGCTGCAATTAAAAGTGGGCATTGCATGTCTTGGTGAACAGGATAAAAAAACACTTCAGCAGTTGATAAATTAAAGAAATGTCAAAGTACAAGTGGTAAATCAAGTTTCATACCATCTTGTTTTGATCAATATTGTCAGAACCTATGATTTTATGTTTACAAAAAAAATTTATAATCGCTCGCCTTTACTTTTCTAGCTTCGCCTCAAAAATTTGCAAATTAAATTTTTTTTTTATTTTCAAATCGCTTGCTCGCCCTTATTTCTGGAGTGGAAAAATCTGTAGAACAAGAAATTAAATTGGTATGGCCTAAATTATAAATTTTAAAATTTTGTCAACAAATTATCTCCATCAGAAGTCTTCTTTTAAATTTGTTTGATCAGATAACAATAAAATGATATCCGGTAATTTTTAGAGTCTTTTGAAAGCATTACATTTTAATGAAAAAATATATGAGAAAATTAGTCCGACAGATTGCTTTACTTTACATGAATCTTATTTTCAGAATTTACTGAAAGTGAATTTCATCCTACTTTGTGTGAACTAGCTACTGTTCAGTGTACTATTTTCATGTTCTGTTTTTTTTTAAATGTCAAAAGTTATTTTTTCCATGACATGGTTATTACAACTTAAAAACATATATTAATATAATACAGATACTAACAGTAATGGAATTGGTCAGCACTTACAATATTGTGTTGAGGGATACATCTAAGAATGATTGCTAGAGGTTGCACTTTGTAAATACAGCTGTTTCACAAGCCACGCCTCTTTTGGGGAGACATATAATATTCATAGATATGTTAATTTGTTAACGTACTGGTTCCCAGATATGATCTCTGTGTTTCATCTCATACACAGGCGCTTGGGTCTATGATACAAATATTTTTGGGGGATTTTTTTTGTTGTTGATTAAAATATTCAATTTTCTATATTTATACTACATATCTATCACTACTGCGCATATCTCACCTAGTTTCGAGTGATTTTACCAACTCTTGAGACAACCCCCATTTTTACTATCCACACTAAGAAACAATATATATTTACAGAATTGCAACCTAGAGGGTTTTTTATTCAGAACATTTTTTCAATAGGGAAAAAAAAAACCTAAGTCTATCTGTTTGAGAAGTTTCAGTGTCATAATTGTTTTCTTTTTTAATCTTTTGTATGTATAGTTTGAAAAAAAAAGTCATAAAATTAACATTTTTGTAGGTTTTGTAAATTTTAACTTAACGAGAAAAACAAATAAGTATCTGTATTTGAAGGTATTTTTTTAAGTATATTTCAGTGTCACAACTGATGACCTTTCATTCTAATCCTAGAATATTTATAGTTGTACAAAATTTATAAACCAATTTAGCTAGGTTTTGTAAATGGTACATTCTTCAATAGAGGTCATCTTGTTATGTTTTCTTGATTTGATAATGATTATCTGACCTATATTTCTCACAGACTTTGAATTCAATGAAGGAATAAGGGAGCTTCCATTTGATATTTATTGGGAGGGGGGTGGGGCTAGGATGAAAAATATTTTGTCCTGCATTTTTTTTTAATTGTAATCTCTGTCCTGCCTTTTTATTTTTCACTCTATTTGGTCCTGCATTTTTTTTTATTAGTTTATCCTGACTTTTTTAGCTCACCTGGCCCAAAGGGCCAAGTTAGCTTTTCTCATCACTTGGCGTCCCTCGTCCGTCGTCGTCGTCGTTAGCTTTTTACAAAAATCTTCTCCTCTGAAACCACTGGGCCAAATTTAACCAAACTTGGCCACAATCATCATTAGGGTATGTAGTTTAAAAAATGTGTCCGATGACCCCGCCAACCAACCAAGATGGCCGCCATGGCTAAAAATAGAACATAGGGGTAAAATGTAGATTTTGGCTTATATCTCTGAAACCAAAGCATTTAGAGTAAATCTGACAATAGGGTAAAACTGATTATCAGGTCAAGATCTATCTGCCCTGAAATTTTTAGACAAATCTGACAATCTGTTGTTGGGTTGCTGCTCCTGAATTGGTAATTTTAAGGAAATTTTGCAGTTTTTGGTTATTATCTTGATTATTATTAGCTCACCTGACCTGAAAGGTCAAGTGAGCTTTTCTCATCACTTTGCGTCCGTCGTCCTGCGTCTGTCGTCCGTAAACTTTTACAAAAATCTTCTCCTCTGAAACTACTGGGCCAAATGCACCCAAACTTAAACACAATCATCATTCAAGTATCTAGTTTAACAAATGTGTCCGATGACCCCGCCAACCAACCAAGATGGCCACCATGGCTAAAAATAGAACATAGGGGTAAAATGTAGATTTTGGCTTATATCTCTGAAACCAAAGCATTTAGAGTAAATCTGACATAGGGTAAAACTGATTATCAGGTCAAGATCTATCTGGTTTTAAATTTTCAGACAAATCTGACAACCTGTTGTTGGGTTGCTGCCCCTGAATTGTTATTTTTAAGGAAATTTTGCAGTTTTTGGTTATTATCTTGAATATTATTATAGATAGAGATAAACTGTAAACAGCAATAATGTTCTGCAAAGTAAGATCTACAAATAAGTTGTCATGACCAAAATTGTCAGTCGACCCCTTTAGGAGTTATTGCCCTTAATAGTCAATTTTTAACAATTTTTTGTAAATTTTTGTAATCTCTTACAAAAATCATCTTCTCTGAAACTACTGAGACAAATTTAACCATACTTGGCCATAATCATTATTAGGGTATCTAGTTTAAAAAATTTGTCCGATGACCCCACCTTCCAACCATCATGGCCGACTTGGTTAAAAATAGAACATAGGGGTAAAATGCAGTTTTTGGTTTATATCTTTGAAACTAAAGCATTTAGAGCAAATCTGACAGGTGGCAAAAATGTTCATCAGATTTAGATTTATCTGCCCTGAAATTTTCAGACGAATCCGACAACCCGTTGTTGGGTTGCTGCCCCTGAGTTAGTAATTTTACAAAAATTTTGCAGTTTTTAGCTCACCTGGTCCGAAGGGCCAAGTGAGCTTTTCTCATCACTTGGCGTCCGTTGTCCGTCGTCGGCATCCTCGTTGTTGTCGTCGTCGTTAGCTTTTTACAAAATTCTTCTCTGAAACCACTGGGCCAAATTTAACCAAACTTGGCCACAATCATCATTAGGGTATTTAGTTTAAAAAATGTGTTCGATGACCCCGCCAACCAACCAAGATGGCCGCTATGGCTAAAAATAGAACATAGGGGTAAAATGTAGATTTTGGCTTATATCTCTGAAACCAAAGCATTTAGAGTAAATCTGACATCGTTAAAAATGATTATCAGGTCAAGGTCTATCTGCCCTGAAATTTTCAGACAAATCTGACAACCTGTTGTTGGGTTGCTGCCCCTGAATTGGTAATTTTAAGGACATTTTGCAGTTTTTATACGCCCGTTTACGGGACGTATTATGGTATACCAGTGTCCTTCTGTCCGTCTGTCCGTCCGTCCGGCTGTCCGTCTGTCCGTCCGTCGTCAACATGTTGGACATTAACTCAAAAACACTTTAACCAATTTGCATAAAACTTTGGTGAATTGTTTATATCTATTAAAGTGAGCTCCCTTTCATTTTTTATCAATTTTAGATTTTACGTTTCTGAGTTACAGGGATTATATTCATAAAAAAAGGGGGATTTCCCAGTTTTCAGACAAAAACTCAAAAATACTTTCAGCAGTTCTTATTTAACTTTGGTGAATTGTTTATATCTATTGATGTAAGCTCCCTTTAGAATTTTATAAATTTTACATTTTACGTTTCCGAGTTATGGGGTTTTATTCATTAAAAAAAGGGGGATTTTCCAGTTTTCGGTCAATAACTCAAGAATGCTTTCACCAACTTGCAAGAAATTGTGGTGAATTGTTTATATCTATTGACATGAGCTCCCTTTCTATTTTTATAAATTTTAGATTTTACGCTTCCGAGTTACAGGGTTTTATTCATTAAAAAAGGGGGGATTTTCCAGTTTTCGGACAATAACTCAAAAGTACTGTCAGCAATTCTCATGAAACTTTGGTGAATTGTTTATATCTATTGATGTAAGCTCCCTTTTGATTTCTAAAATGACATTGAGAATTAATTGAACAGATTTACTAAGTATTGCGCAACAGCATAGTGTATTGCACAACAGCAAGAAATCTTTAATTGAATAAAATTTCAATTCATATAACCAATTTCAAGTTCTTTGACTACAATTATTCAGAAATCTATAATATGTCAAATATTTAATTACAATCCAAATTCAGACCTGTATCAAGCTTGAATATTGTGTCCATTTTTGCCCAAACTGTTCAGGGTTGGACCTCTGCGGGCGTATCCAGCTGCGGTCAGCGAAGCAGTTTATTGGTTATTATCTTGAATATTATTATAGATAGAGATAAACTGTAAACAGCAATAATGTTCAGCAAAGTAAGATCTACAAATAAGTTGTCATGACCAAAATTGTCAGTCGACCCCTTTAGGAGTTATTGCCCTTAATAGTAAATTTTTAACAATTTTTCGTAAATTTTTGTAATCTTTTACAAAAATCTTCTTCTCTGAAACTACTGAGACAAATTTAACCATACTTGGCCATAATCATTATTAGGGTATCTAGTTTAAAAAATTTGTCCGATGGCCCCACCTTCCAACCATCATGGCCGACTTAGAACATAGGGGTAAAATGCAGTTTTTGGCTTATATCTCTGAAACTAAAGTATTTAGAGCAAATGTAACAGGTGGCAAAAATGTTCATCAGATTTAGATTTATCTGCCCTGAAATTTTCAGATGAATCCGACGACTTGTTGTTGGGTTGCTGCCCCTGAGTTAGTAATTTTACAAAAATTTTGCAGTTTTTTGTTATTAATTTAGACATCATTATGATATCTAATATCTAATACTATAATTATGATTTTAACCTTATTTTACATGATTTCCAAAGCATCAGTAAATACAGGTGAGCGACACAGGCTCTTGAGAGCCTCTAGTTTTTTTTAAATTTCATCCTAGCCCCCCCATAAAATAGAAATCAAATGGTAGCTCCCTAATTGTCTTTTTAAATGGCAAACTCTCTAATTAATTCTCTTATTTTAGTTTCATAATTAGCCAAAATTAGCCTTATTTTTAAATGATCTATAACCTACTTATTCACTTAATATATGTCAAGTGTATTTTCAAAAATGTCATAATCATTAAAATGGTGTTCCACTGACATAAAATTGGACATGTAGTCTAGACAGGTAGCCAGTGGTCAACAGCCTAAATTCTTCAGGGTCATTCCTTTTGTTATGTTACTAAATATATACAATGTATATGTACTGCACAAGTGGTCATTTTACATGATATTTGACAAGTTATGAAATTAATGATAGGATGAAATTTATTATGAATTAAATATCTACAGGGAATAGTGAAATGAAATGAATAACTTGATCAAAAAATGGACCAGGTAAGACGTAAAATTATGAAATTGATCACAGGTGATTTTAACATTTTTAAAAGGTCAGTAATGCTGATTGTCCATTGGAGGGTGATGTAACCTTGTGTAAATTTTTTTGTCTAAAATTTTAAGGTTGGAAAAATATCTTGTTTACTCAATTTCTGTTAATGAATATTTGATTTATAAAACTTGAGTTTATTTGATCAGATCTTGAAAGTATTATGTTGGTCAATATAATACTTTATGATTAGATTAGTAAAGAAATCATGGTTTATTGTATGTATAGCATTGAATCCAGGTACAAATGTACTTGTACATTGGTTTTTGAATGTTGTTTCATTTGAAAAAGGAAAGAATGGCTTAATTTAGACAATATGATAGTGTCAAAATATCAATCTTTATATGGGATTGTTTATGGGACATATAAACGCATTAAAGACAATACCCTTGAAAAAAATATCTTAATGAAATAATGTCATGAATTTAAAAATACCTGAAATGTTTTAAAAAAAAAAGAAAAGGAAAATACAAAGTTGTGAATTGAATCTTTACGAAAAGTGTAGATAATATATATACAAAATACAGGTCTTTAAGTTCTTGTAAGATATTGATCTATGACATTTATAAAATGTACCCTTCTGTATCTTGTGGCTTCTTATTGGTTATTTGATTTTTAAATCTTACGATATCTGCACTTTTAGAGGTGATATTTACAACATCAGGTTCATGCAGAGTTCATCAATAAAATGAACTGTTTATCAGCCCTTGACTTTGGGGGTCAGTCTGCATAGTTAGTGTTTTACTAGAATGTCATTGTGAATTAAACATGACATTTAGATCCTTTTGGCTTAGTTCTGGTCAGATGTGAGTAATGATAGACTTTTTAAGTAAATAAAACAGTTTTATCTTTAATGAAATGTTTAAGCTCTTAGGGAAAATAAAGGAAGTCAGTAAATAAATTTTTTTTTTTTTTTTTAAAGAGCTTCTTTATAACTAATAGAATAAAGCGAACGTATTTGGCTAGAAAATAAAATTAAATAATTGTTGATGAGTTCACTCAACTCATAAAAACTACTGGACAAGGTATGCTATGTGGATTATGAGACACATAGTTGTATAGAGAGAAGCATTAATATGTGTCATTTTTAGTATTATTTCTTTACATTTCTTTATTTAAATAGTAGCTGTTGAATTAGGTACCTGAAATTTGATAAAAAATAAGACATAAATTTTCACTTTATTTATTTTTGCAGTGTATCTAAATCATGGAAAATCTTGACAGTTCTAATAGTGTTTGCAGCTTATTTATACATGCTGCCATCACCAATAGACCCTCCTGCATACAGGTAAGTTACTCAGGTTAACAACACATTTTAAGCATACCTTGTTGCAAGTTGTTGGGACTAGGTCTGATAAATATTGGCAAAAATATCCAAAATTCAATTAGAAAAATTCAGTCCAGTTTTCAAATTATGGACCTTGGGCAAGGAAAATATATGGAAATTGTACTTATTCATCTTTTTTGTTGCTATGTTTTTTAGATATTGGAAATTATTTTTGGCCTGTTGTATATATTGTTAACCTGCTACGAAAGTCACAGAATGTGAGACAGGGATTTAGTATTATCCGGCTGCTGCAGCATAAACTATTTGTATAAAGCTTTTATATTTAAAGTGGTAGAAGATCTGAATGCTTCATAACTAGTATACACATATACTTAAGTCCCAGAATACAAGACATAGGTATATCAATCCAGTGGCGACAGCAACGTAAACTATTGGTATTATGCTTTGTATTTCAAAGGGAAGATGACCTTGAGGATTCATACAGATGCCATATGTTACCAAGATTCCATCTGTCATATATCTGTTATCCTTGACCTCATTTTCATAATTCAGAGACTGATTCAATAAAAAGTTTTTGTTTTTTTGTTATGAGAATTTCTCACTTATTATGAGTAATAGGATAACTATATTTGGTATATTGGTTCCTTGCAAAGATTACATGTCCCTCAGTCAGGGTTCACCTGACCCTTACCTCATTTCATGGATTAGTGATCAAGGTTAAAGTTGCATGAATACATGTAGGTCCGTTTCTCAGATACTGTAAGCAGAAGGTCAACTATATTTGGTGTATTCACTATAGAATTTTTATTCAATGACCACTCAATAAACCTTATTTACAAAATACAAAAATAGTCCTGTATCATTTGTTTGAGCATGTGAGTGAATTATGGCATCAGGAATTGCACAACATCTTTTGCTTTTTACATATACGTTTAGAAGTTCTGCTCCCCCCTTTGCATTTACATGAAAGAAAACCCTGGCCACCAGTTTTTGGAAGATTTTTAACTGCTTCACGTAGCGAAAGTTTAAGCTCAGAAACCGTTGCTGCGAATACAGATGTGTCTTTAACAGCTTCAATTTGATTTCTCGACAAATATCCTGTTAAAATTCCTACAGCTGTTCCAATGCGGTACCCAAATTCTCCAGATTCAATAATTACACATAAGATATTTTGAGGATCTGTTGGAGAAAGATCATACTGAGGAATTGGTATAATGACATTATCCCCAACAGCAAGTTCTGATAATTTCTGTTTCGTTTTCATGGTAAGATATTCGGCTTGGATCTGTTGGCCAGACATCGCACGGTTCCTATCACATTTGATTGGTGTTTCAACGACAGTGTCATCCTAATTGTGACTGGGGCCAACTTCTATTATACTATCAGAATTGTCACTGGGACCAATTTTTATTATTCTTTCAGAATTGTCACCGGGGCCAATTTCTATTATACTATCAGAATTGTCACTGAGGCCAATTTTTATATTATTCTATCAGAATTGTCCATGGGGCCAATTTCTATTGTACTAACAGAATTAACTGGCATGCACGTATCAATTACATTTCCTGTCTCCATCTGGGTATTTTTGTATTTTGTAAATAAAGTTTATTATGTGGTCATTGAATAAAAATTCTATAGTGTATATCAATGCTTTTTTATAACAAAATCCATACTATAAATTATTGTACAAGTTATAAGTGAAATTTAGTGGAATTTTGTACAAATTGTAATTTGTACAGGCACTTTTTGTACAAATTAGTCAAAATACAAATTATAATTTGTACATTTTTTTTGTACAAATTATAATTTGTACAAAATGATAACTTGTACACAACATATGCAATAATTGTAAGTTGAACATGTCTGTCTGGTAGGTATCATCTGCCCTTTGCCTCATCTTCATGATTCATTGGTCAATGTTAAGTTTCAACACTAAGGTCCTTTTCTAAGATACTATAAGCAATAGGTCAACTATATTTGGTGTATGGAATGATTGTAAGGTTAACATGTCTGTCTGGCAGAGTTCATCTTAACTTGACCTCATTTTTATGGTTCATTGACATTGGTCAATATTAAGTATTCCTGGTTAAGTCTGTTTCTCAGATACTGTAAGCAATAAGGTCAGCTATACTTGATGTATGGAATGATTGTACATATCTGTCTGACAGGGTTCATCTGACCTTGACCTTATTTTCATGGTTCATTGGTCAATATTAAGTTTCCATGGTTTGGTCTATTTCTTGTATATTATAAGCAATAAGTCAACTTTATGTGGAGTATGTAATGATTGTAAGGTGTACATGTCTGTCTGGCTTGGTTAATCTGACCTTGACCTCATTTTCATGGATTTTTTATTATTTTAAGTTTACTATAAGCAATAAGTCAACTTTATGTGGAGTATGTAATGATTGTAAGGTGTACATGTCTGTCTGGCAAGGTTCATCTGACCTTGACCTCATTTTCATAGTTCATTGGTCAATGTTAAGTCTTCCTGGTTATGTCTGTTTCTCAGATACAACAAGCAATAGGTCAACTATATTTGTTGCACAGAATGATTGGGATGTTTACATGTTTGTCTGGCATGTTCATCTGCCCATGACCTCATCTTTATGGTTCATTGGTCAATATTAAATTTTTGATGGTTCATTGGTCAGTGTTAAGTTTTCATGGTTTGGTCTCTTTCTTGGATAATATAAGCAATGGGTGAACTAAAGTTAGTATATAGTAGATAGAGAGAAACTTTAAACATCAAAATATGACCTACAAATAAGATTAATGACTGAAATTGTTAGTCCACTTCTTATAATAGTAATTCAATGATGATTTTTTAGCAATATTGGTGTTTTATCTAATATCTTGAAAACTAATAGAATAGAGAGACTGAAACTTTTAACAGCAAAAATGATCAGCAACACAACTTTATTCTTCTAATAAGTGAAATGATTGAAATTGTCAATCAACATCTGTAATTGCCCCTAAATCACAATTTTTAATAAATTAAAATCTGTTTGCCTATTATCTTGAAAACTATTAAAGTATAGAGACTCCAGTATTTTGGAGAATGATAGAAAATTCATTCACAGAATTGATGGTTTTCTAGTCATCACCTTGTCTGTGTGTCTGTCCGAAACTCACTGCATATACTCAGCTTAAGTATTTAGTAAAGATTTGATATTTGGTCTAAAACTTTATAATGATGAGCATAATGCACTGTGTAAATGATTTTCAGATCTGCTGTTCAGTCACTTCCTGTCTAACAGTACTTTGAATATTTATGATGCCTTTTGATCATGGAATATTTCTCAGCTTTTGTTTTTAGGAATATTTGATATTTGGTCTGGTATATATTTTTAGTATGATGAATTGAATGGTGTAAAGTATTTTCAGATCTTTATTTTCCTGTTTGACTTTATTCTGATTTTAAGCTCACCTGTCCCAAAGGGCCAAGTGAGCTTTTCTCATCACTTGGCGTCTGTCGTCCGTTGTCCGTAAACTTTTACAAAAATCTTCTCCTCTGAAACTACTGGGCCAAATTTGACCAAACTTGGCCACAATCATTATTAGGGTATCTAGTTTAAAAAATGTGTCCGGCCATCCCGCCAACCAACCAAGATGGCCACCATGGCTAAAAATAGAACATAGGGTAAAAATGTAGATTTTGGCTTATAACTCTAAAACCAAAGCATTTACAGCAAATCTGACAGGGTAAAACTGTTAATCAGGTCAAGATCTATCTGCCCTGAAATTTTCAGACAAATCTTACAACCGTTGTTGGGTTGCTGCCCCTGAATTGGTAATTTTAAGGAAATTTTGCAGTTTTTGGTTATTATCTTGAATATTATTATAGATAGAGATAAACTGTTAACAGCAATAATGTTCAGCAAAGTAAGATCTACAAATACATCGTCATGACAAAATTGTCAGTCTACCCCTTTAGGAGTTATTGCCCTTTATAGTCAATTTTTAACAATTTTTCGTAAATTTTTGTAATCTTTTACAAAAATCTTCTTCTCTGAAACTACTGAGACAAATTTAACCATACTTGGCCATAATCATTATTAGGGTATCTAGCTGAAAAAATTTGTCCGATGACCCCGCCTTTCAACCATCATGGCTGACATGGTTAAAAATAGAACATAGGGGTAAAATGCAGTTTTTGGTTTATATCTCTGAAACAAAAGCATTTAGAGCTTATCTGACAGGTTGCAAAAATGTTCATCAGATTTAGATTTATCTGCCCTGAAATTTTCAGACGAATCTGACAACCCGTTGTTGGGTTGCTGCCCCTGAGTTAGTAATTTTACAGAAATTTTGCAGTTTTTTGTTATTATCTTAGATATCATTATAATATTTAATATCTAATACTATTAATTATAATTTTTACCTTATTTTACATGATTTCCAAAGCATCAGTAAATACAGGTGAGCGACACAGGCCCTTGAGAGCCTCTAGTTTTTATACCCACTGTTAGCATTTTCATCAAAGTCTAATTTTGTTACAAGTAGGGGCTTACTTTGCACAATATCACAGGCAATTTATATTAACTACTTGTTTTTTTTTTTCAGTTTTTATTATAATTCACATTTCTGGATCATGTTTCCAACTATTTCTACTTTTACCAAATCCCATTCATATTGTGTATACATTTTAGGTATCCAAAGCCTCCAAGTTTGACAGGAGCACTCCAGAAGAATTCCATTCTACATAAAGCTGAGCAGTTATTTAAAGGACAAATCATTGGTCCTGAATCATTTGCAGCAAATAAAAATGGTATTAAATTTAAATTTAATCTTTGTTGTAAAAAATAGGATTTACAATCAGCTGTTTTATATCTGTAAATATTTGTAAATTGTTAAGCTTTAAATCTATTTTTGAAGTAAATTTTAGGGAAACAGCTGTAAATAAGATAAAAATTTGGTAATTTACAGATTTTGCAAATTCTGTATTTATTGTACAATGTATGAAGCCATTATCAAAGGTTACACTTATATATAATTTGCAAGGAAGTTTATTTGATTAAAAAAAAACGTAAAATTGTCAGATGTTTGATATTGTGTACTCCATATCTTTTATTAAATGTTTAACAGTTTTAACTTTAATGACATGTCATTTATGAAACACATATGATAAACTACACTAATTTACCTGTGGAGTTGTCGTTACTAATCTTTTACATTTTCCTGCTAAAATCAATATAACAACAGAAACAATGATTTTTAAAAAAAGATAAATAAACCATTATATCTTAAATTTTATATTGAATGCATATATAATTACATATATTTTGATTTGTGAGTTACTAAATTATCATTGCAGTTTTTTAATTTTCATCTGACACCTTGTGTGATAAAATAATTTGATTATTCATAAGATTAAAATTTTTACATTGAAGCATACTTACCTGGTACAGGGAGCACCGTGATCAAAAAGGCGGTCTCCCCAGGTCGAGGCCTTTCCATTGCACTTCGGATAGGCTGAAGCTTGCGAATGCCCCAAATGTGGGCATCTCGGGTACGCAATTTTTTAGTGTGGGGGACTGCGTTCGCGCTAACCCCCGAAATAATCAAATATCAGTAAAGAACTTTGCCCAATAGCTTCTATAATAACTCTAAATCCTTTTATTGTGCAAATTCTTAATAATCTTATTCATGTAGAGCAGATTTGCTCTTGAATTTTTTGGAATATTGATGATACAAATTACCTGTAATAAATATTTTTACTTTAAGATGGATTGTAACACATCCAAAATATCCTGCATTCCTTCTTGAATACCATATTCAAATGTTGGCATCTCAGATATGCAATGTTTTAGTGTGAGGAATTTCAGAATAATCAAATAGAATTATAATAACCTCTTTATTTTAATAAGATTTTAACTTGATCTCTGGTTTATATTGATCAAATTTACCTTTTTTGCAGAGTTATAAATGCTTTTTTTTCACAACTGTATTGCTATTAAGATTTGGAGAATTTTATTGATACAGAATATGGAGTTATTTATGATAAAAATTCATTTGTACTTTTTAAAAGAGCACTAAACAAATATCAAAATAGTTATAGAATCCTTCTCAAGTTAATTAGGGCCCATTTGGCATGTGCACTATAGTAATCATTATGTCTGTCTATCTGTCTTTTTGTCCCTCCATCAACTCTTCTATGTCATATAGGATGAGTAAAGATTGACTTAATCAGTTTTCATAATTTTATGCACAGTGTAAATACTTTCCTTAGATTTTTGTGAAATTTTGCCAATTATGAATTATGATAAAAATCCCAATATTTTGATAATAAAATAATCAGAAATATTGAGAAACATCTTTTTGTGCTAGAATTTCAACAACAAAACATGCTATTCCAAATAAATTTTTATGATAATTATCGGGGAAATTTGATGTATAAACTAAAAAATGTGCTTGTTAAAAACTCACAAATTTTGAGAAACTTCTTTTTGTTCTTACTTTTCATTAACAAAAAACTATATTTATTTAATATGCTGATCCAAAATTATTCCCGATGGCAAACATTGTTTTTTGTGAAAATTTCGAAATGATATTGGTCCTTACAACATAGTTATTTTTAAAAATTAGCAATTATGAGAAATATTTATTTTGTTACTATTTCAATAAAAATTAAGATGATAGGAAAATATGATTCTATAATTCCTGGTCTTTTGCAATAAGTTCAAATGTGGAAAAAAAAATCTTTTTCTATTTATAGATGAATCGTAATTTTCTAGAACATCTTTTTTGTGTTTGGATTTCTACCCCAAAAAAATACATATAAATATAATTAGCTCTTCCAAATTGATTCAAGGTTGCAAAAATTTTAAAAAAATATTTAAAAACTTACTTTTTGAGAAATTTTTAAACATGTTTTTGTTTTATGATTTCAATGAAAAATAACATAGGTTTGTTAATATGCATTCCCTTCCACAAAACTGGTAAACACTAAGTCTTCATAGAAATTCTGAGACGCATCTGTTTTTGATATGATTTCAATGAAAATCTATACTTATAGTTCAAATTCCAAATTGATTTCCAGATGTCAAAAATTATTAGGGCCCCGTCGAATGGGGGACGCCCTATAGTGATCAGTCTGTCAGTCCATAACAAATTGTGTCCGCTCTATATCTAGAGAACCGTTATGATTTCAAAGTTTATACTTGACATGTGTATTAACCAACACAAGAGAGTGTGTCATAATGTATGTTCAACTTCCTAGGTCAAAGGTCAAGGTCAATGACTTTGGTTTAAGTTGACAACCCCATGTCCTGTGGTAAAGATCGTGTCCCCTCTATATCTTGAGAACTGTTTTAATTTCAAAATTTATACTTGACATGTATATAAACCAACACCAGAGGGTGTGTCATAATTTATGTACAACTTCCTATGTCAAAGGTCAAGGTCAAAAACTTTGGTTTCAGTTGACAACACCATGTCCAATGATAAAGATACAAATTTTTTACCACACATTATTCACAGCGGGGCCAACAGAGATGGCTCCCATCTCAATGATATCTAGTTATGGTCTGCCACTATTTTTGAAATGACAGCCAAATACATAGTAAATAAAGTTTAAGGAAACATTATATTGAGACCACATCCTAATTAATTCCTCTTGTCAAAATTTATGAAAATTGATACTCCCGGAACATGATTTTTATACCCGAGCCGTAGCAGAGGGAGCATTAAGTTTTACCCTTGTCCGTCCGTACATACGTCCTAAAGTTGGTCTCCGTTCTCTAACTTTAGTTTGCCTCAACCAAATAAAATGAAACTTGAACACAATGCTTATTACCACAAAATACAGATCAAGTTTGAATTTTGGAGGCGTCACTTTAACCGTTCTAGAGTTATGCCCCTTTACAAATGGAAAAATTGCTGAATTTTTTCGTTTCTATCCTCTAACTTTAGTTTGCCTCAACCAAATGTTATGAAACTTATACATATTACTTATTACCACAAAATACAGATCAAGTTTGAATTTTGGTGGTGTCACTTTAACCATTCTAGAGTTATGGCCCTTTACAAATGGAAAAATTGCTGAATTTTTCTTTTCCGTTCTCTAACTTAAGTTAGCCTCCACCAAATGTTATGAAACTTATACACAATACTTATGACACCAAAACTCAGATCAAGTACAAATTGGGGTACCATCACTTTTACAGTTCGTCAGTTATGTCCCTTTATGACTTTATATGATATGCAAGCGGGGGCATCTTCTGTGTCCCATGGACACATACCCCATTTTTTTTTTTTTTTTTTGCATTAGTATTATTTATACATACACAAAAATGTGTAAGCAGGGCCCATGCTGACATGTCAGTTTTCTAGTTATATAGTGTAGTTGTATCTCTGAGAGTTGTATTGATATTTCACAATTTGGCTTGATCAATATCACTGAAACCCGTCTTAAAAAGAATAAAAAATAGTTGTATAAATCTGTTTATTTTAGGGAAAATTCTTTTTAAAAGTAATTAAACAGTCAATAAAATTATAAAATAAAAAAACAAATGTTCAATATTTAGCATATAATATCTTTATTCCACATAGCACTTACAACTTTTTATCAAGTCATTTATCAAAACATCCCCCATAATGTTAAGCCATTACGTATGATAAATGACACAATTTACCTGTGGAGTTGTCGTTACTATCTTTTACATTTTCCTGCTAAAATCAATATTACAACATTAACAATGAGTTTTTTAAAAAATACAATCAATCCATTATTTCAAAAATTTTATAATAAATGCATATATAATTCTATATATTTTGATTTGTGAGTAACTAAATTATCATTGCAGTTTTTCAATTTTCATCTGTCACCTTGTGTGATAAAATAATTTGATTATTCATAAGATTAAAATTTTTACATTGAAGCATACTTACCTGGTACAGGGAGCACCGTGATCAAAAAGGCGGTCTCCCCAGGTCGAGGCCTTTCCATTGCACTTCGGATAGGCTGAAGCTTGCGAATGCCCCAAATGTGGGCATCTCGGGTACGCAATTTTTTAGTGTGGGGGACTGCGTTCGCGCTAACCCCCGACCATCAAATATAATATAAGTCTCTTTCCCTCTAAGTTGACTTGATATTCCTAACAATCATTGTGCAAAGTCACAATGTTGTATTTTATTCTTGCAGAACTCAGATTTGATATTAAAATTTTTGGAATATTGTTGATACAAACTCATCTGTTGTTAATAAATGATGATTTTTTTCCTCAAGAGGGATTGCAACACATCCAAAATAGTATGCAGACCTTTTGGAATACCATATAAATTTTATCATAGTGTATTTGTGTATATTCAAGATATTAATATGGGGAAAACACTTCATTCCCTCAATTTCTTTAGTTATGCTTTGTGAATAATATTTTTTTATCAAACTTAAGTTTATTATGATTGAATATAAAAGTAAAGTATGTCCAGCATTGAATATAGGTTCTGGTTTATATCCTTTATACCCCTGCTCCAAGAGAGAAGGGTACACTAGTTTGTTTGTCATTCTGTCCATGTTTCTGTCTGTTCTCTACAACTACAATATATCTTACTTCTGATATATGGCACCAATCTTTACTTGTTATGCCATACTATGCAACCAGTTTTCAGTTCCTTCAATGTTCCTCTTTCTCTTTGCTGAAAATTTATATCTTTAAATTGTCATGCATGACATTTTTCTATCATTTTTCTCAGTAACTACAATCTATTGCTTCTAATATATAGCACCAATTTTCATCTGACTATGCCAGACACATTTTATGATCGTTT